GGCGGCAGAATTTTTTGACATTCTGTTCTTCTCCTCAAAATCTGTGTTCTATTGCTCTTCCATCACTCTTTCTTCTACATCTTCTTCACTTTCTCTTCTCATCGAACCTGAAATCTCTTAGTGATCAAGACTGAATAGCAGTCTTGAAAACCTACAAAAATGATTAAAAACATGAGAAAAGGCAACACTGCCAAAACACCATCATGAAAATTTATTCCTCATCAAAAATTGATTCTTCCTCCCCTCCTTCCTCATTCCAAATTTCTCCCCTGTTCCCTCTAAAGGATTTTGAAAAACTCTCATCCTTCCTCCTTTTTACCAACTCCTCAAAAGCCCTGCCTCCCAAGAAGAACAAACCCAACAATTTTCCAATTTCTGCTTCCCTGTCAACAAGTTTTTTATATCCATGTCTTCGTGCTTCACCTACTCCTTTGACACCACCTCCCCCTCCACCTCACTTTCCTTTCTAACTTCCTCAGCTCCTTTACTATTAATTGGTTCCTCCCCTAAAGGGATCACCGAGAGAACCTGTTTTCTTTCCAAGACCTTGCTTTCCTTACCAGGGAATACAGCTCTTTGAACTTTTGAATTAAGACTCCGTCTATTGTAAACCTTTGTAAGTTTATTGGTTGGGCCTGCCCCAATTATACCGTCCTTAAGACGCAAAAAGACCTTTGTGACATGCACAATGTGAGTCTTGTTCCAAATTCTTGTCTTCTTCGTAGCCAACACTGGAGCATCTGCCTTAGAAGGTATGCTCCACCCCTTCTTTTTCTTTTTCTTTTTCTTTTTTTGGAACAAAAATAGGGGCTCTACCCCTTCTTTTTCTTTTTATTTTTGGAACAAAAATAGGGGCTCCATCCCTTCTTTTTATTTTTCTTTTTTTTTCAAACAAAAACAAGGGCTCAGCCCTTTCTTTTTCTTTTTTTTTTTTGGAACAAAAAAGGGGCTCTGTCCCTTCTTTTTCTTTTTTTGGAATAAAAACGGGGGCTCCACTCCTTTTTATTTTTTTGGAACAAAAATAGGGTGGAACCCCTTCTTTTTCTTCTTCTTCTAGAACAAAAACAAGGGATCCTCCCTTTCTTCTTCATCATTTCTAAGGATTTTATTCATGCTTTATTTTTCTATGAAAAAAAGGGGTTATGCCCCTTCTTTTACTAATATTTCTATGACAAAAACAGGGGCGCCCCTTACTGTTCTGTCCTTTTTTGAACATTAAGCAACGCCTAGGAAACTAGGCAATTAAGCGCTCTCTTGTTGCCTAGGTTTGTCTTGGCACCTTGAAAACTAGGATCAAAACATGATCAATTACCCATTGCATTTTTTCCTGTAGTCAAATTTAACATAGATCACTTCCTAATTTAACATTCATAAAGTTCAGTTTAGTCTTTTCTCTTAGTAAATTTATAACTTGGTTGACTCTCTACATTACAAATTCTCAATTTCTGGCCTTAACACTTCCTAGCTTAACATTCATAATGTTTAGTTTAGTTTTGATATTTATAACTTGGTTGATTTCCTAGATAACAAATTCTCCATTTCTGGCCTTATTTTAAGGGAACCAATGTCATCAAATCACCAACCAATCAACTGGAACTGACTAATCAGTTGAGGGGTCATACTAACTACATTAGTAACTAGTCGGTCAGTACACATGATGAAATTACCTATGAAGACTAAGCATTGTATAGGTTGACTAATAACTAGTCCACTTAGTTGACCATAAATTTTATTTACAGCTTTATTTGTTATGAATGCCAATTGCTTTTAACATATCCAATCATAGATGGTTGGCTGATGGCGTATAAAATACAAAGAAGGTCTAAAGTATTTTTTTAAAGTAAAAGAGATATGGTTGAGTAGTTCTTTCAGGTCTTCTTTCAATGGCTGGTTTGCTCGCATGGAGTTTCCATTTTCATATCAAGGAAATGACTTTATTCAAATGAACAATTTGATGACAAAAGGATGAACTATATCAACATTCATGTTTTAATTACATGAACTTCCATTTCGAAGAGAAGAAATCCTATGATTATTGATTAGTATGCATCACATATAGAACAGAAAACACTAACCTATGTTTGTGAGTGGGAGAACTTAGGGTAAAATATAGAGAAAGTAATCTGATAAAAATAATAAGTAATTCTCACCCTAATGAGTGTCCCTGCATAGTCTAGGACACGAGCAGCAAGCTCACATGCAGCCTTCATGTGAGGAATTCCCTCAGCATCATGAATCTGATGTTCACTGGACAGTTCAGGCAACAAAGTTGTATTCAAATAAGGAGGCTTTGGAATGTGATCTGGCACAGGAAGACGTGGTGAGACCTTTCCACGCCTTAAAGGTGGCCTTCTCCTGAAACGTGTTGTTGTTCGAAGTTCACGCTCTCTGCAAGTGAGTAGATAATGACCACAAAAAGGAACATAGAGATCACTTAATGACAACATGATTTCCATAATAAACAGAACAAACTAATTTAAACCAGACAAAGATGGAAAAAGAAAAAAAAAAAAAAAACATAAGAAATGGCATAACAAGAACCTACATTACTAGCATACCTCAAACTAATGGTCTAGAAGTATCGTTACCAACTCGACAGTTGGCATAATACTTCGGTAATGTGCTGATGAATGATGATGCTCCAAGCTCAAATTTTCAGGAAAAAATGTTGCAATTTTACAAAATCCTTCATAGATAGACACAGTTGAGGACAGTATCCCCTCAAGCAGCTGTTTATTATGCTCATCCCAAATACCCAGCATCACAGCATGAATATGGAAAATCTAGACCCTCAACCTCAGAACACAACAAGAGGTAGTCAACTATAACTACCAACTGTCATCCCCTTGTAATAGCATCTAGAAAAATGCCCTTGGTTTCTTCCTAGCATAGACCTAATAATCACCAGATCAAAAATGCTATGGCATTTTGTTTTTTAACATTGAAAATTCTTGATATACCATACCTTTGGTCTATTAAATTGCAGTATTCTTTTTCAATGAATTGGCACAGTAAAGTGAGAGAAAGAGAGATTCAAGACTCAAGAGATGCAAATGATCAAATCCCTAACCTCTACCTACCTGAGAAGATAAGAGAAGACAAAGTGGGTTAAAGGCTAAACTAATTTAATTCTCAAAGCTTGAAGCAATGAGGACTAGACATCTGAATAGGCATGCATATGGTGTTTTTCCTTTCTTCCGTTCTTTCTTTTCTTCCTTCCTTCTTCTCATTTTTGGGGTGGGCTTGCATGGAAATATCAGGATTTTTTATCAGAGCAATGTTCAGCTGCTGCAGCCAGCGTAAATGGGGCCATGCTACAGCCTTTAATGGAAAAGGAATATTTTTCAGATATGATGTCACACATCATTCAGGGACATGTCTTTCCTTCCATGCACCTCAGGCACTAGGAATCCCTTGCCCTTGCACCTTTTGATTTTAAAACAGTTGGGCAAATAGATGATCCCTTCATGTCTATTGAGGACAAATAACTGCATCCAAATGGAGTGATATGGAAATTTGAGGGTTCCAGAGTACCGAGCAGGGAACAGAAAGAGCATGCTTTAAATTTTGAGAGAAGATATAGAAGCCTATCATGTTGTGTGGTATTAGGTATTATTATTGATAAAATGTTTGGTATATCTTAAGGTTAAAGCTAAAGGTAGGACAAATGCTTCACAAACTCAGCCACTAGCTCATATTCTGCAAGCTGTGTAAGGAAAGAGTCTTATTGGTCAAAAAATTACAATGAAAGAGTCTCATAAGGTGACCTTAGGACCTTATCAATCTGCTCCCTCTTTTCAAACCATGATATATACTAAAGTGTGCCATTTCCACAACCTGTATCCAACAGATTTTTGCATAATTCTCACATCAAAAGTATATGATGGACATATTTTCATGTCCAGAAAATATCTGCATGCTCCAACCTAGTAACCTAACCATAATGTACTTCATTTCCTTTCAGCATAATTAATTTGGACATGCATTAGATATCCCTAAGACTACTTTACTTTAATTACCACTGATAATATGATGATATGTTGTATATTTTGTTGATCCCAAAGTAATTCATATACTGAAGACTTTTCAGACAAAAAAAAAATCAATCCAATTGAATAAATTAATAAACTACAATGAATCTTTTTTGAATGGTCAAAAACAAGGATAATGTTCTTTGAGAAATAATCTATTTATTTGATGGTTAGAGGTATTCAACCAGATTGGTTTTTCATCTAATAGATCTCTTACATCGGGCCTACAGTATAAAAGGTTCAATTCAAGAAGATACTCTACCTATAAAATAAAATAGGCATTACCATGCCCATGGTAGTACAGCGGTTAATGAATGTCTTTCCTATTATTTTTTTCATTGGTTTCTCATTTTATTTGTTCTTCTATTCTTTTCCAAGTTTTGTCTTTCAGAGTTTCACTTTCCCATAAGAGATTACCAACATTTACAAATTCAAGCATTATGCTAACTTGGGTTAGGAAAAAAAAAACCCTACACACTCTTATTATAATAGAAAGAAAAACAAAAAAAAAAAAAAAAGAGTGCAGCAATATACCTCTTAATTCTCATGGCCTCTTCCAACCCTGATATCCTCTTCGAAATGATTACAAGATTCTTTTGCACAAAGTGCCTTTGTTTTCCTGAATTGCACAATAAAGAAGTAATAGTAAACTAACGACGAAACAGACAGGAAGGTGCCAGTGATTGCAAAGGAGACCTAGTGGATAGAGTAGACGGACCTGAGAGAGTGGAAGGTGAGAAATTCTTCAGTGGAGGACCGATGAAAAGAGTAGGCGACGACAAGGAGTCCCCAAGAAAGGAAGACGAGAGTTGCAGAAACGATGACGCATGAGAGATCGAAGCAGCGGACGCCATGGCCAATTCGGTAAGTGTTTTCCCGGGAAACTTTTGAAACTTGGCAGCGGGGAAACTGGAAATATTAACGAGCAATCGGTTCTGTGATTTTTGAATCTCTTTTGATTTTATCGATTTCTCTCCTCCACCAATGGAAAACGGATAATGTTAAGCAAGCTAGCCACCGTTTGGGAGTGATTATTTTCTTCGGTAAAATACAAAAACCTCCCTGAAGTTTCTGAATCATAAAAATCTCTCCAATAGTTTTTCTAAAAATTCAACAAATACCTTCCTTCCATCGATGACCAAGATGAAAAATGTTAAAAGGATGATATTTTTTAAAATATTTATTTTACCCTTTTAAGAATTAATGTCCATCTATTTTTAATTAAATAGTTCTATCTACATATTATACCTCTTTGCCCTCTTTTGTTATCCCAATTTCCTCAGGGCGCATAGTGGTGGTCTGGTGGAATGGCAGTGCACTCCCCCTCCAACCTTTCCTCTTATTTAATTTTCCCTATGATTCTCTCTCTCTCTTTCCTTCCTCCTCATCTCCCATCATTTGAATTTCTTCGCCAACACCCCCTCGGTTATCGATTTTATCTATTCAACGGCAGTAGTGGTTGTGCTACTATGACCACCTCGTACCACTGCTGCAACTATGGTCCTCATTTTTCTCAATCATTCTCTCTCTCTCTCTCTCTTTCTCTTCCCTTCCTCCTCATCTCCCATCGTTGGAATTTCTTCGCCAACACCCCCTGGGTTATTGATTTCATCTATTAGAACAGCAGTAGTGGTTGTGCTACTATGACCACCTCATACCACTGCTGCAACTATGATCCCCATTTTTCTCAATCTCTCTCTCTCTCTTTTCTTCCCTCAGTTCCTTCCATTTGTAACCTAAAGCCACCGCCTCTTTACTTCTACAAATCCATCCTCAGTTTTTCATCCGTCGACTAGCTCTGAATCTCTAGACTCCCTCTTACCTTTTTCTCCCATTATATTTATATTTCTTTTCTCTAGCATTTTTTTCTCTTATTTTATTGTCATACCTCTCCACCATGCTTCCTCCTGTAACGCAACGCAAGAGAAAACAGAGTACCGTTCCCGCCTATTGCTAAAACAAAATTCCCAGTATCATCGTTGGACGTCAGACAGTTCAAATTGTCATCCATGTCATTTTCGTTGAAACAAAGATTGGCTGTTAGTAAGAAATTCTCAGACGTGTTCCCTCTCCCCGACTGAAACACATGGCGGCAATTGAATTCGATATGAGAATTCCTCACTGACGGCCAGTCCACCATCATGACATTTAAGGGTAAAAATATAATTATACATGTTTTCTGTCTTGGTCATTTGTTGCTGATTGTCAGAAACTTCAAGAAAGGATTTTATATTTTATCCTAAATACCCTTATTTTCTTTTACAAATGCTTTAGAGTGCAAATAAAAATAATGCAAATTCCGATTTAATTTTGTTTTGGGTTTTACTTTATTCTACTTCATTTATATAGTGCAATCAAAACAAAATAAATTTGCACTTTCATGATTTTGCATCCTCTTTCTCCTTCTTCTCTTGTTGAGGAAACACAATAGAGTCAGAAACGCCCAACTCTAACATCGAACATTTCACCAAATCCACTACTTTCACCTGGGTGGAGCCAGGATTTTTTGTAGGAATTTTTAAGACATAGGGGGCCATGGCTCTCCTCCGCCACTGACCTTATATTAAAGAATCACTACCCAAATTTGCCTTGTAACCCCAACTCATTAAACTACATATTAAACTATTGTTTCAAATGTTAAGCTCAAAACTGTCTCAGGTGCTCAAAGTTAATTAGACTCCCTATTACCAACTTGAGATAAAGTCTACTACCAACCATTGAGGTTCATGGCAATGGCATGGACAATGTCTTTATAGACATCACCAATACCGGGCCCAAAGATTCCAAATATCTATTGTCCGGTGGTGGATGGAGAGGAAGGAGAAGAAATGGATGACTTGTTTTATGTCTGGTGGTGTCGATGGAGAAGAAGAAAGGTTTACTTTGATAAACTTATACTCTGAATCAAGGTAAATCATGGCAAGCAAAAGTGTAGTGCTACCTTTATTCAAAGTACTTTTCTCTCTCTAACTAAAAGGCACCAAAACCGAATCAGGGTGCATAATAACACTGATCCGACATTTATATCGCTACCAAATGCAGCCTAATGAATTTTGAAGAATTTTCTTTCCAAGAAAATAACTTGGATCACCTACAGACCTCCACTTACTTTCTAAGCTTCTCTCTAAAGGTCGAAGTGAAATTTTTAGAAACTAGTAGAATGGCCTGTGCGATGCACATGGTATTTGAACCAATGGTTGATTAACCACACAATAAGCATTGGGGTCTATGTGGGTATCTTTTCCAGTTTTCTTAGCAAAAACCTATACAAGGAAGATTGGGACTGAAAATGAAGTGCAAATATTCAACCATACAGTGTTGGGCTAAATAATCTACTTCCATTTAAAATTATAACCTATCTATATTCCATTTTAAAATAATAAAAAATAATTAACCATAATAAAAATAATTTAGTAAGTTACTTAAATAAAATAAAAAATTAATTATTGTTATTGACAAAAATATATTTTTGTTAATAATAAAAGAACTTAACTAATAAAAGCAATAATATAAATTAAAAACGAATATCATTTTAAAATTAATATAAAACTAATAAAAAATTATCTAGCAATTATTAGTTTTATAATTAAATTTTATTAATTTAAAACCAACTTAAGTTCCACTAAAAAATAAAATATATATATATAGTTAATTAAATTTCATAAGGAAATTAAATTTAATAAAAAACTTAATATACTTAAATAAATTCAATTTTTACTAATTAAAAAATAACAATAATAAACATTAGTTTTAAGCATAGTTTAATTATTTTAAAATCAATTTAAATTTCATTTAAAAATAAGGAAAATTGTAAAAACCTCTTTGGATTTTCTTGCATCCTATGAAACTCCCCAATGTTTTGACCTTAACAAAAATCACCCCTATTGTCTTTAAAAAAAGGTGCAAATACCTTCCTTTAGTGGACATTCCAAATAAAAAATGTTAATATAATGCATTGATTTTACTTCACTTCAACCTTTTTAAATTTGTCCAAGAAGAGTAAGGAGAATTATTCTTTAGAAGTTGTCTAACAAAATAGATTAGTGGAGTGTAAAGTTGAAACTTTAAATTATGTATGATAATGCATTAACAATGATAAGGGTATTTTGGTAACTTTAATGTCTTTGTTACGGATGAGCCAAGGGAAAGGACATAGTTGCACTTTTTTTTTCTCAAAACTATAGGGGAGGCCTTTGTTAGGGCCAAAAAACAAAAGTGGTTTATAGAATTGTTATAAGAGAAATTTTTTTTTTTGTAATTTTACCTAAAAATAATAATAAACCAATACAAATTAATAAAAAAAATTCCAAAAAATTAATAAACATTAACATTAAGATACAAAAAAAAATACAAATTTATCTAGAGAATAGGAAATTGGTCACTCTCACTAAAGCACAACTTAGATTGTGATCGGATAAACTAGACATAACCCCAAAAAATATTACTCGAATTGAACTTAGGTGGATGCCATTTAATTGGAAATGTCATAGAGTTCCATCTTCAATTTTGCTGATAAATAAAGCCCGTGTGTCGCACGGGTCTTGACTAGTACAACACTTAAATGGATTTAGGAAATAAGCTTGAATAAATGCTTTTTCAAGAAATAAGTCCGTTTTACTTTTTGAAAATTCTCTTGTTGCATTTTTGACCCGCCATGTAATTTTCAAAATACCTATACTACCCGTTTGCAAAAAATGCTTTTTCACCAAAAACTCATAAACGCTTATTAGGATAAGCAATTATTTATCCAATAAGCGCTCCCAAACAACTAATTGTGGGCCATAAGGCCATAATTACATCTCCCCCCTTTTATATTATGAATTTATACCATTCATATAAATATAATGGTGTTGTTCCTAGGAGGAAGGTTATTTGTTTATTTTTTTATTATTTTCTAGATGAATATTTACTTATAAGTTATAATACTTACACTGTTTAGTTTTTCAGAATTGGGATCAATTGATTGATTCTCCGAAAACAAAACTCTATTTACAAATTGAAGGTTATTTGTTTAGGAGCAATGTTTAAAAACTTGACCCGGAGGCCGAACAGTTTTTGCCTTTGGGTCGCAGCTCATTGGTTCAACTGTCCATGTCAAATGGGTCAGATCATGCTACATCAACAATATGTAAATTCATACATATATGCATATATATATATATATATGTGTGTGTGTGTGTGTACGAATGTATAAACATGTATTTTATTAACAAATAATGTATAATCGTATTTTATATGTAATATATGTATTATTTTATATTTAATTTATGTTTTATAATTTTGTTTTAATTTTTTATTTATAAAAATATTAAAAATTGTGAATTGAGGCAAAAAAGGGGTTTGGGCAAAAATAGCATGTGGGACGCATGGATCTCGAAAAGTTACCAAAATCCAGGTTGGATGGTTTTTGACTAATTCAATGAATTTTTTACTATATATTCTCCAGGTTTTATTAAAATCAAGTTCAAATAGTTTAAACGAAGAAGTATGGACAGGCCCAATGCAGATTTTTGATTTCCATTGCAAAGCTATAAACATTCAAAATGTCAAAAAACCCCACTCTAAACATCAATGCTTGCCCGTGGATTGGCATCAATTCCGAGCTGGCACCCACCCCAACTGTACTTTGGGCCTAAACCTATTCATGGGTCGGGTAGCCCGATGGGCTGGCCTGGCCCGTTATTAAGTCGATTTTGGTCATAATTTTAGGCCCGTGGGCTCGGGCCTAAAGCACCATGCCCGACTTTTTTCAGGCTAGGCTCGGGCTTTCTAAAAAAAGCCTGGCCCGAGCCCGAAACCGACTTGATACTATATATTAAATAATAAAAATATATTTATTTAATAAAAAATATATATACAACATATTTTCTTGGTTCTTCTTCTCTTTTTTCCGAGTAATAGTGAGATGTTTATTATTTTTGAGTTTTGAAGGTTTTTAATATAAATAAAACACTTTTTATTGGATAAAAAAAAAGAAAAAATTCTGTTTCAAATTTGTGGCCGGGCTCGAGCTCAGGCCCGGGCTTTAAGCTTTATATGAGGGTCGGGCCTAAATGTATTCTATTGATACATATACAAAACCCGGCCTAAACTTGGCCCGGCCTGGCCCATGAACAGGTCTATTTGGGCCTAGAAATTCTACCCTTGGGTTGAACCGTCATTCTCCCTAATTTAAATGGTCGGGTCAACAGCCAATTGAAAACTCTGCTTAGGAGTGAGGTAGAAAGTTGAATGATGTGGCCCAACTTTATATAAGAGGGAATTGACCAAAAACATGAAATTTATATATTAGTGCATGTAAAATCTTATATATATATATATATATATATATATATATATATATATATATATATATATATATATATATNTCTTATATATATATATATATATATATATATATATATATATATATCTATATATATCTATATATATTGGGGTGCTCTCTCCGTACAAGAATCTACTCGTGCGAGTAGATTCTCATGTGAGATCAACTCATTTTCAATTAATTATATATAATTATAAATATTGTTATTATAATTATTTAATTATATAAATATATAATAGTTATTATAAATATTGTTAATAATTAGATATCAAATCGTTCGAACGGTTTTGACTGTTGTTTATTTTTTTTTTTATTTTTTTTGTCAAAACGGGCCGACCGTTCGACCCGGTAACTGGACTCCTGACCGATTCGGTTTTAAAAACCATGATGTTATGTCATTCGAGCGTGTAACTCATATGACCTAAAAATAGAACCGTTTTGGCCACCGGTTTTCGGGTCAACGGTTCAGTCGTCCAGTTCAAACGAATGGCTCGTTTTGACAACAAAAATAAAAAAAAATACAAAAAAAGACCAAAAACCATTGAATGGGTCAACAGGTTGACGATTTGACCACTTGGGTCAATGGGTTGTTGACCGATTCAACGATTTTTTGCCAGGGACCGAGATTGGGATAAAACTGAACTGGTTGCCTAGACGGTTCCAAATTAAAAAAAATAAAAAAACGGATGACCCGTTCTGACAACAAAAATTACAGGCAAAAAATTGAGTGTGTAAGCTTTATTAAGCAATACCATACGTGTTATGTCATTCGAGCGTGTGACTCGTACTACCTAAAAACGGAATCGTTATGGCCATTGGTTTTTG